AGCCGTTATTTCCTGGAGAAAATTCAGTTGATCAACTTGTGGAGATCATAAAGGTAAAGTATCCCTTATTAGATTATTGTCTGGGCTCTTTTTCTCCCTGCTATATAAGATACCCTAGAATCTAGTAAAATTGCAGCCATATTAATTACTTGTTACCTTGGTTTAGGTTCTTGGTACTCCAACTCGAGAAGAAATTCGATGTATGAATCCAAACTACACAGACTTTAGATTCCCCCAAATCAAAGCTCACCCTTGGCACAAGGTAATTCATCTCACCCTTTTTGTGGTCGAACAATAATTTACTCACTACCAAAACAATATTCATAGAAGCAAAATGTAAATGAATAAGTTTCTGTTGTTTTACACATGGCTTTCATTGTAACATCAACAATGTTATCTTCCTTTTAACCTCCAGGTTTTTCATAAGCGGATGCCTCCAGAAGCCATTGACCTTGCTTCTCGGCTTCTTCAATATTCACCAAGTCTACGTTGCACTGCGGTCAGTATCTATTCTCCTTTTTTTAATTAAAATTAACATCTTCTTTATTAAACAAAACAACTTTGTACATTACAAATTTAGAATGAAAGGAATAGTCAATTTAACCAAAAATAGTAAATTAGTAAATTGAAGATTAGAGATTACCGCGGTCACTATCTATTTTTGGACCATAATCACTCTGTTGTGATAGATTGTTTGACTTTTTTAGTGATGTACCTCCTTTCTGATTCTCTATTAAAGTGTTACATGGAGTTGATATTCGTTCTTCTGACATTTGATTTTCTTTCTCTCTTTAGCTCGAAGCATGTGCACATCCGTTTTTCAATGAACTCCGAGAACCAAACGCCCGTCTCTCAAATGGTCGTCCATTACCGCCATTGTTCAACTTCAAACAAGAGGTAGAAAATCAATAGCTTTCTTTTTTCTTAGAGAACTCGAACAATAACCCGATAAATACAATTCACCATTATTGTTATTTTGAAATGTGGAGAACAGTTGAGTGGAGCTTCATTGGAGCTGATCAACAGGCTTATACCGGAGCATGTGAGACGGCAAATGAGCACAGGATTACAAAGGGATGTCTGAAGAACGGAGATTTAGTGCTTCTTCTATCTGATATTAGACAGGTTCTACATTTATCAGCTTCTATACCCGTAAAGTCATCATATTCAGCTTTTTGAGATATCACAAGCTGATAATTGCGTCTATTTTTTTCTCTTTTATTCCTTACTTGACCTGGAGAGATCAGACGAGAGAGACAACTGTGTCCTCGTATATTTTTTTGTATATGTTTTTGTCCGTAAAACAATTCTGTCAGATTCATAGGGGGAAAAAAAACGAACGAGGTTATGAAATGAAAACCATATCATGTCCAAAAGTTTAAATTGGATTATCACTAGAACCTGATAATTAATCTCTTAAAAGTTTATAGATTTGTCTTTGAAATGTTACTGAGGTGAAGATTTGCATTTGTTTGCTTTATTACAAATTCACAACTGATGGGAGTGTCAAAAGACTAAATACCAATCATTTACCTTCAAATTTTAAAAGCCCTTAGAGGCCAAAGTTACCAAAGCATAAAACGTACATTTTTTCTTATGATTGCAAGAGCCCAAAGGGATTATCATTTTGCTGTCTCACCCTAACCAAACCAAATCTACAATCCCACTTCTAGTTAGAGCAGCAACCCATTCTCTTAAGAACCGATCCGTCTTCTTTTACGTTTATGGTCTCTCCTTTCTTTGGTAAATCAGATGAAGTTCCTCCTCCTTCTCTGTTCGATCCATCCACACTTCTTTTGCTCACTATCTTGTGAATCTGAGTGAGAACTTCCGTGAATGCGTTTTCAACATTGGTTGCGTTTAGAGCTGATGTCTCCATGAAATAGAGAGACTCTCTCTCAGCAAAGGCTTTAGCGTCTTCTGTTTTGACTGCCACTAGGTGCCGCAAATCGCACTTGTTCCCTATTAGCATCACCACTATGTTTGGGTCGGTGTGTCCCCTTAGTTCCCTTAGCCATCTTGCCGCATTCTCAAATGTCGCGTGCCTTGTCACATCATAAACAAGTAAAGCTCCTACCGCTCCTCTGTAGTAAGCGCTGGTGATCGCTCGGTATCTATCAAATCATACACAAAACCAGCATATTCTCAGATGTTAACAGAGATACAATTACAACTGCAGTAATCAGTTTTCTATAACCATACCACTCATATAACAATTGTTTTAGAGACAATTCAAGGTAAAGTAACTACCACGTAGTTAATGGAATTATCCAATGAGAGGATTGCATAAGCTGATCAAGCAAGACCGATATATGAGTGATACAAATCTATGCACAAGAATATTATAAGCACAAAACCTACGCCACAAAAGTAAACCATTAGTAGCTCAGATGAGATGGGACCGCTAAGAAATGCTCTGTAAACATGATCAAGTTCACTTGGAACCAAGATCTTCTTAGTTTAAAGCCAAGCAGGCTTCATTGAGAGATATGATTAAGGTAAAGATCAAACAAAACCAACTATTGAGATCATTACAGAACCTAATCACTCAAAACCAACAATATCATCACAAAATCCAGACCAAGCTACACAAAATCAAACACCCATGATTCCCTCCAAAGAATTGAACACGAAATCAACAACAAACAAATTCCAGTGAAAAGGGATGATTTCAAAAACCTTATCCCTTTTAAGTATCGGATTCAACTAAACAGGAAAAAACAAGAGACGAAACGTAATCGCACCTCTCTTGACCAGCAGTATCCCAAATCTGAGCTTTGACGACTTTTCCTTCGACTTTGAGTGTCTTTGTAGCGAACTCAACACCAATAGTAGACTTTGATTCGAGATTAAACTCGTTCTTTGTGAATCTGGAAAGCAGATTCGATTTTCCGACACCAGAGTCGCCGATCAAGACAAGCTTGAAGAGGTAATCGTACTCTTCGTCAGCTTTGTAATTAGCCAT